AATGGGAAATTTATGCCAACTTCATTTATTGTTATGACTGATATGTTTGGGTTGTCCTCTGTCATCTTGTTTTATTCTCTCAAACAGAATTTTAAGAGAGGAGTTTCAGTTCCCATTCTCCCACTTCTCCTAAATCCCTCAGTTAAAATAATTTCACACAACAGTTGTGAATCATGATGAGACCAAGGGGGCTGAGGACTTCCTTCCCCAGAGAGACTGCATGACTGAAGAATAGCTCCTTGTTCACACTTTTCTAAGGAATCTGCTCTGATTTGTGTGAATACTTTGATTTTTAACTTTGTGATCTGGGAGTAGTTTAGGTTCCAAGAAAAGTACTCTGACATGTTATAAAAGGAGTATATTCAGGATATAGTTGTTATTGTCCTTTATCAAAGTGATGGCAGTAAACCTCTACTTATGTGACTAATACCTTTTCTTGCAGGTGACGATTTTAACTATTTGGACCCAGAACTTTTTCATGGATTTTTAAAATATGGATTAAATTCCATTATCAGTAAAAGATTGGGCAGCTACAGAGATGTGCCAGATACCAGGGATAAACTGTATGTTCCTCCTGATACGTTTTTATTGACATATAACGTGTTGGTTTCAGGTATACAGCGTAACAATCTGCACTTTCACTTCTTCCTTTCCAATCTGGATGCTTCTCTCTTTCTTAACTTTTCACACTGGCTAAAACCTCTAATACAGTGTTGAATAGAAGGGGTGAAATTGGAAAACCTTGTTGTGTTCTTGATCCTTAGACACAGTTTTCCACAGTAAGTATGGTGTTCTCTTAAGGCTTTTCATAGATGTTCTTTCTCATGTTGAGGAAATTCTCTTGTATTCCCAGTTTGCTGAGAGGTTTCATCAGGTGGATGTTGAATTTTGTCATACCCCTTTCTGTGTAGATTGAGATGTGTGTATCTTTAGTTTGTGAAGGTGGTAAATTATGTCGATTTTCTAACGTTAAACTGAGCTTGTATTTCTGGGATATCCCCCCACGTGGCCATGATGCATTATCCTTTTTATATGTTGTTGAATTTCATTTGCTGAAATTGTGTTTGGAATTTTATATCAGTGTTCGTGAAGGCAACTGCTCTGTATTTGTCTTTAACTTCCTTGCCTGGTTTTGTTTTCAGAGCCATGTTGTCTCTGTAGAATGAGTTGGGAATTATTCTTTTTAAAAATTTTTTAAAATTTTTTGTTAAGGGAGGAGGTAATTAGGTTATTTATTTATTTATTTATTTATTCAATAGAAGCACTGGGGATTGAACCCAGGACCCTGTGCATGCTAAGCACACATTCTACCACTGAGCTATACCCTCCCTCCCTAGGACTTATTCTTTTAGAGTTTAATTTTTAATGTTTGTGGTTGACTTCCGCTAAGTACTTTTTGATTACAATGAAGACATTTCTTTCAATTCTTTCACTTGAGGTTTTCTCCCTTATTTATTTTATTAACATTCATTTTCCTTTCCTTTCTTTGAAAACATTCTTCTCTGGGGGGAGGGTACAGCTCAGTGGTAGAGTACATGCCTAGCGTGCACAAGGTCCTGGGTTCAATTGCTAGCATTAAACATGAATAAATAAATACATCTCATTACCTTTCCCCTCAAAAATATTTCTTCTCATGGGTGTATCACATACCAGAGGGTTCCTGCCAAACAACAGAATTGCTCTGTTGGTAGCAAAGCCCGCTTTCGGCATGGCAGTGACTGGCCAAACCTGCATCAGATGGCATTGGGTTTATTTTGATTTGGGATTTTATTTTAATCAGAAAAGACAACTGAATTCTATCAAATAATTTCTTAGCATGAGTATTATGGCTTCCTCCTTCAAATTATTGTTAACTTCATTTCAGCAAAACATAACCCAAAATTAAAATTATTTTATTAATTGGAATTTAACTGTTTTTAGCTGTATTTCACTATTTTTCACTGTCTGTCATAGCTATATAAAAGCTTATAAACACAAGAAGATTCTGCTTAATTTTGTTTGTATAAACGTATGTAGGAAACATTAAAGTAATTAAAGTCAACTCTGCAGGCTGATGGCTTATTTTCCCTTGGGTCTATGCACAACTCAAGTTTAAGAAATCTTGTCTTATGTTTTTCTTCTTTGAGTTACCATCTTCAGATTTTAATATCAAATTTATTCTAGCTTCATAAAATGAATTTGGATGTTTTCCCTCCATCTCTATGCTCTAAAATCGTTGAAATGATATCATTATTTCTTATGTTAAACTACAACTTGTCTGGTAATTATGAATCATTGCTCCATTTTCTGGTGTCAGCCAGTGAAAAAATTTTAGTTTCTACTACAGTCGGTTATTGTTCTGCTCAGACTTTCTATTTCTAGGGTCTATTCGGGACACTCTATTTTAATAAGAATCTGTTTCATCTATTTTCGAATTTATTGGCTTAAAGTCACACATCCTGTTTTCATACTTTTTATCTCTTCCTGTAATATACCTTGTTTCACGTTCTTACTGTTGTACATTTTTCTTCTTTCATCAGCTTGAGAGGGGCTGGTCTATATTAGTCACCTTTCAGAAAACCAACTTTGGTTGGTTCCATTTAGGGCTGTAGGTTCCAGGCCCCTCTCCTTGGCTTGTAGACGGCCGTTCTCTCCCTGTGTCTCTTCATACCACTCTGTGTCTGTCTCTGTGTCCTGATGTCCCCTTTTTGTAAGGACCCCAGTCTTACTAGACGAGCCACCCTAGTGACATCTCACTCATTACATCTACCATCCATTTCCAAATAAGGTCACATTCTGAGGTCCTGGTGGTTGGGACTCCAACATATGAAATCTGGGGGCAGGAGGACACAATTGAACCCATAATAGTCCTGTCTTATACTATACTGTTGGGAATCACGTTAGCAAAGACTAGATCAGCTAACCATGGACAGCCAAACACAGGCCTTAGCAAATTACACTCACCCTTAAAAACAGCTTATTTAGGTCTGAAAAGTATTTCTACATAGAGAGACCACAGCAACATTTATTAAGTAATTTTAGAGAAACCTATACACATCAGGCTTCTCTTAGGGCTCTAGACCCGTGTGACATGGTTTTCCGCTCCTTCAGTATCACTGTCCTGTTCCTCTGAAGGGACGCACTCTACCTGTGGTTTTCTCCGAATGATACACCCAGGACTAAGCATGATGCTAGAGATGCGACCTGAGTAGCTCAAGCTCACCCTGGACCACTGTCTCTCTCATTCTTGGCATTATCCTCTCTCTCTCATCTACTTGCGCTTTGATAACTCAGTGATCTTACGAGACAAAGCCTTTCTATGCTACCTGTTTCTGACGCCACATTTTCCCACATGACAGAGGCCACATGCAGCCCGTGGCACTCACTCCCTTTCCCATCCTCTCATGTCTCTTCTTGGCCCTGTCGTTTCCCACTCTCATTCCTTCAAGCACAATGTCAGCTTCCACCCAGCCGGCATGCCTTCTGTATCTTCCTTGTGTCTTGGATAAAAACATTAACCCAGACAAGGACCTCTTCTTCCAAAGTGACATCAATCCACGAATATCCCCAGGGTCTGTCCAGGATCCCTGTAGGGCTGCCTGTCCAGCACCTCGGGGATGGGCACCTGAGCCAAACTGGGCCAGTGAATCCTGTCCTGTGAATTTGGGGGAAGGAGAAGTCTTACCAGTCTCTTCGTGGGTGCTGGACTCTAAGGCTTGCTAATGTCGGCCAGCTCTCCTACTCCGTGGGGTAAAGAAGCTGAAACAAGCCAGGCTGCAGAGATAGAATGAGCCTCATATAATAATTACTACCTGCAAGGCACTGTCCTGAGCATTTTACATATATTAATTCATTGACTCCTCACAACCTATGAGGTAGGTTGATGTAGTTATATTTTTAATATTATTCCCAGATATAAAGACAAAAGCAGAAATGGCGAGTGTCCAGGAGGCTTTCAAGCCTCTAGTTAGAATCACTCTTGGAGGCTCCAGCTGTATGCCTGTCACTAGGTCCTATAGGGACATTTGGATCCCCTTATTGATGCTTAAGTCAGTTCCACAGGGTTTGTCATTTACAACCAAAGTATTTCAAAATACAGCTAAATAACAGAGCAATCCAAATAATACTCAACAGCTAAAAACTAATCTCACTGGAATTCAGGGTCTATTTTTCTCTCAAGTGCACAAAAAAATAAGACATTTTTGTCAAGTCCTTGGAAGAGATCTAATTACGCCATATCCCCTACATTTCTTTGTTGCAACAGACTACACAAATGTAAGAATAGCACATGGATTTTCTTTGACGATAGTACAGTCAAGTTAATTTGAACCTTTCGATATGTCTAAGTTTATGAACTCATTTTATAATAGAGACAAAAATATAGGTATAATTTGTGTTTATACTATGTTCAAAATAGAACTGGTACCAAAATGGGCTCTCAGGAGAGAGCAATTACTACTGCTCTTTACTGGCATTGAGAAGGGAATGATTCAGAAAATATTAGAACAACGTAAGAAGTTTGAAGACATTTTTGTGTCTCAGTTTTTGTTTTTTATGTGTAACTGTCAGCTTGTTATAATCATCAAAGAAATGGAGAGGAAGAAATGTGAATAAGGAAAGGTATCTGAATGAGCCCCCAGAACATTTAAGGCTTTTAGACGAATCATTTTCTTCCCTTACTTCTGCCTGCAGGTGTCATCGAAAACAGTACCCAGTCACCCTCCCCACTGCCAGCATCATCATTTGCTTCCACAATGAAGAATTTAATGCCTTGATGCGGACAGTGTCCAGTGTTATGAGCCTCACTCCACATCATATCCTTGAAGAAATTATCCTGGTAGATGACATGAGTGAATATGGTAAGTTCCCCAAACACCAGTATCCAGTTAATCTACTTCCAAGGCAGTGCTATCTCTGATGGCACTTGAGTTATTTTATACAAAGAAGATTTTTGGTGGGTGTTGAGGCAGGCACTGTACCAGGTGCTAGGTGCACTGGTGGAGGTGTGAGAGCTGGTCCCTGTCCTCATGAGGTGTGGCTAGTGCTTTGATGAGATAAATGTAGGGGCAAGCTGGTCTTTAGAGATCATAGATGATATTCAAGAACTGACATCTTTAAACTGAAGTCTGGTAGTAACAATCATGGTTATGGGGGAAAAGGGGGTGGGAAGGGATAAAGTTGGGAGTTTGAGATTTGCAAATGTTAGCCACTATGTATAAAAACAGATTTTAAAAAATTTCTGCTGTATAGCACAGGGAACTATGTTCAATATCTTGTAATAACCTTTAATGAAGAAAATATTAAAACGAATATATGTATGTATAAGCACGCCTGCGACATTGTGCTGTACACCAGAAACTGACACATTGTAACTGATGGTACTTCAATAAAAAATAATAAATTTTAAAAATGTAAATAAATAAAGTTTATATGAGGATACATACATGCATACATACATACATACATACATACATACATACATACATAAATTGAAGTCTGCAGGGTGAGTTGGGTTCCTAAAGATGGAGAGGCAGGAAACAGTATTATAAAGAAGCCAAGGAAATGGCATTATAAAGACCCAGAGGCAAGAGGAAACATGGTGTGTTTGGAAGAGTTCTTTATGTAGATTGTGTATGAGAACAGCATTTAGGAAGGAGAGGGTGCACATGAAACCAGACACGGCAACCGCTCATGCAGGCATTGTTTGAATTTTACTCGGAGAAAATGGGGAATAATTTTAAGCCTTAATGCAGAGGAATGACACAATCCAGATGCTTTACATGAAAGAATTCTCATCAGACCGGCTACACTTAAAGGCTTATTCACCCATGTTCACTGGCTCTAAAGAACTGTGACACTGGTACAAAATCTGATTAACTATATTTAGCACTTGAAATTAGTTGTCTATTTTACAACTTAATTACAAACCTGAAGGACCCAGATTAGGGATAAGATCTTTGGAGCCTGCAGGTCCCTGAGGAGTCCATTTCTCACGGAAGCAACGTATCCGTATTGGATAGGTATCTAACTGTGTACCTAGTCCACTGTGGGTCTGCCCACCATTGGCTGGGACAGAAAAAGAGGAGGAGAAACAGTAGGAAGAAGAATGGGCAGGGGAAAACAAGAAGACGTCCCGGGAGGTTCACCCTCGGGGAATTGACTGGAGGTGCATCAACTCAAAAGTGGCGTCTACAGCCATAAAAAAGAATAAAATAATGCCGCAACGTGGATGGACCTGGAGAATGTCATTCTAAGTGAAGTAAGACAGAAAGAGGAAGAAAAATACCATATGAGATCACTCTTATGTGGAATCTGAAGAAAAAAAAAAGACACGAACTTTTTTACAATACAGAAGCAGACTCACAGACATAGAAAACAAACTTATGGTTTACCAGGGGGGAAGAGGGGTGGGAAGGGATAAATTGGGAGTTCAAAACTTGCAGATACTGACTACTATATATAAAATAGATACACAACAAGTTTCTTCTATATAGCACAAGGAACCATATTCAATATCTTGTAGTGACCTATAATGAAAAAGAACATGAGAAGGAATGTATGTATGTGCATGTATGACTGAAACATTGTGCTGTACACCAGAAATTGGCCCAACATTGTAACCCGACTATACTACCACCAAAAAAACAGTATAATGTAACTCACTGTAATGCCAGCTCCATTTAGGAATTTTACTCACTGGCCAGGCACTATTGTATATGTCATTTCCATGGGAGCCCCCCCAATCAGAGGGATACAGTCCTGTTTATTTCTAGTCTTGTGCGCTACAGGGGATATGGAGGAATGGTCAGTTTCCTTGTCTGATCAGTACACTGAGCAACACATCTGGCCACATGTGAGGCACGAAGTCCCCAGCAAAGCCATGAGCAGGGAACCGGTGGGATCTTTGCTAGACTGTGGAATTCTAACTTCTCACGTGGAAGGATAAGGAATCCTGCTGTGAAGATGCAGTTCCAGGATGACCAGAGGACACCTCCCCCTGGCCTTTCAGAACTATGCCACTGAGTTCAGAGACATACCTGGTCACTTGTTCATAGGTCCTTTAGGCATCAGGGTAATCACTGCTGATGGCTGAGATACGAGTGTGTTGCCAGACCAGACCCTCCACCTCTCCTCGACCCACGGTCCCCTGGTCAGTGGTGCTTTCACCTGCCCCACCAAGGAGCTTAGTCTTGGTCCCACACAGAGCCTCGGACACAGGAAATGCGGGAAATGGGTGTTCTGTGTTTTGATGGAGCTCAGGACCAATAGATTTCTGCTTTAATCCACAATGATTTCATGTAGGCTCTAGGAGGACTTTTTTGTTTATTTGTTTATTTTTAATTGAAGTACAGTCAGTTACAGTGTGTCAGTTTCTGGTGTACAGAGTAATGTCCCAGTCATATCTATACATACATATATTCCTTTTCATATTCTTTTTCATGAAAGGTTATTACAGGATATTGAGTACAGTTCCCTGTGCTATGCAGAAAAAAATCTGTTTTTTATCTATTTTTATATATAGCAGTTTATATTTGCAAATCTCAAACTAAGGACTTTTTTGAACTGTAGCTAGTCTTTTCCAGGTGACACCAGTAGGCATCACTGATGAAATCCCTCAACTTGGGATCTCAGGGGTCGGGGGCCCCCGCTGAGTTGCAGCAGAGGCATGTCCAGAGCCGACCTGCTACTGTCCACCCTCCTCACAGCCCTGATCCCTCTCGGCTATAAGCCAACAACCTGACCACCTTCTGAAAAACCCCAACCCTCCACTTAACGTCAGCGATGCCTGCCTCTGGCGTGCCTGTCTCCTCCCGGGTCTGCCTCGCAGAGCTCTTCTGTGTCCTGGATGTGAGGGAGGTGTTCGCAGACATCTGAGCTGGGATGCTGCCCCTGCCCTGCAAGGGAGGCTGTGCAGCCTGTGGTCTGCCTCTGAGCAGGGCTCTGGCACTCTTTAAAGACAAGGAAGGAGATCTCTCCTTCTGCCAAGGATCCCCAGCCTCCTCATCCAGATTCCTAGGATTTAGGAACCTCTGAGGCACCTGTATCCCTCTCACCGGAGTCTAGCCTCATTTATCACCATCATGTTAACCTCCGAAGATTGAGTGGCTGCTAGGTACCAGGCTCTGTGCTGAGTGATGTATTTCTTCCTCTCCCTGCAGTGCTGCAAGGAATATGGTGGGTCTCCCTTCTCGCCAATGAGGAAACTGAGACTCAAGTGGTGTGATGACCCACCTGGTAGTTACTACCAAATTAGCACAGTTGTTGGTAATAAACTAACAAAGCAACATAACTCATGCTTTTTCTATTAAAATTATAACAGTGATGAGTTAAAATAGAGGCATCTCACTAGAAAGTGAAGAATATTTACAGTTGATGTCAATGCTGAATCACTTTTCATTCTCTTCCTTCCTTACATAGGATAACATTTTCTTTTAAAGTTAGAAAACTTCTGTGGAATAAGCATAGTTTTTAGGAGTCAGTCAAAATCATGAGACATTGTTTTAGTTTATGTAGTTATAGTTTTAAATTGTCCAGTGATGGTTTTTTATTTTTCCAGATGATCTGAAGGAGAAACTAGACTACCACCTGGAAATTTTTCGGGGAAAGATTAAAATAATACGAAACAAAAAGAGAGAGGGACTGATCCGAGCAAGGCTGGTTGGAGCGTCACATGCTTCAGGTACGAATGGTTCCTTTGGGACCTGACCCTGCATCTGTATCAGAGAGCTTCCTGCCCTTGCAGAAGTCATCCTCACAGGGACCCTCCGTGTCTCCACTGGCAGAAGCAAAAGAATATATTTCAGCCATACAAGTCTTTAATCCTCTTTTGACACTGAAGGTATCCTGCTTTAAAATGTCAATTTGTTATTTCAAATAGAAGATACTCTTTGGCAGGGACTGCAATGTCAGCCTCCTGTTATGGGATAAGTTCTCCCAGCTACAGACTCTGGGATGGAATTGAACATGCAGGGAACCCCCTGGGGTGCTCCTGGGACCACGCCTGTAAAGGAGCGAGGCAAGCAAGACTTTATGGAGAGAGTGGCCCTGGGGTGCAGCTGCCTACCCTGGGGTGGGGGGAGACTCTGAAGCCAGGATGGGAAGCAGAGGCAGATGAAACTGGAGGAGTGTTGACAGAGAAATGTCTGTGAAGGACACAGGGAAGAGGAAGGAGTGTGGCCAGAAGCTTCTGGCCTGACATCTCTGGAGGGAGAGAGGGAAGGAAGGGAAGGTTGAAAGCCCTCCAGTCTGCTGTGTGGCCCCCAGAAGGACTTGTTTGGGCTGGTGGGGAGCTCCAGAGCAAAGACCCTCCCATTGGAGAAGTCCAGTATTGGGCCCAAATGGCCCAGCTTGAGTTCTCCCCCATCTCGGGCCCCCTACACACACACAATGTGCCTAGTCATTGTCCAGGAGCCCGGGGAGGGCGTGGCCTTGGATTGAGTGCTGCCTGAGATCCCTCAGCAGGTTCCCTTGATGGGAGGCCCCAGCGGCACACTCCCTCCACCTGTGTCCCTGAGTGGCCCCGTGGGGGAGAGCTTCTCCTTGGTCAGGAACATCTGCCTTGGGCTACTAAATGAGTAGAAATAAACTTCCACTGCATTTGAGCCTTGATAAATTTTGGAGTTTTATTATAATAGCAGCCAGCTTTAACACACCAGCTGTACTCCTGTCTCAGAGCCTTTGCACGTGCTTACCTCCCTCCCCTGGAATGGTCTTCTTCCAGATACCTGCATGACCGGTTACTTCACCTTGTTCAGCGCTCTGTTTAAATGTCCCTGTATCAGAGAGGCCTTTTGAAATCACCCTGTTCGAAATAGCAAGCCCCTCACTACCGTCCTTACTCTGATTTTTTTCATAATATTTGCTACCTGTCAACTGGACTGTGTTGTTGGTACTGCCCACGTGACTAGTGAAGTCACCATTAACCTGCAGTAGCTGAGACAGTTGTGATGGACTGTGTGCTGTGCCCTTGGACGGGACAGAAAATGACTGCTACTGGGTGGAAAATTCCATCAGGGAGAATAAGATAATTATGAACACTTTTTTAACGCATTAAACAAATGCTTATCATAAAGCAACTAGTACAGATGAATAAGGAAAACAAATATTTAATTCAAAATGATAAAATACATAAAATGAAACTAGGAGAAATACAGGGCAAAAGTCATGAAAATTTAGAGCATTCATGGTGGGAAGTCTCTTGGAGATTTTAGAACTCACCATCCTTACTTCCCAGTTAAAGAAGCTAATCTCCCCCAGAGATCGGAGACCTGCTCCAGGTCACATAATTCAGGACTCAAACCCACATCTTCTGATTTCCATTGCAGTTAAACAGTATCATCACACCACCAGGTCATGGAAATGTAGCAACCAACAAAAATGAGAAATTCAAATAGCATAGTCGCTTGAATTGTTTTTTTACAAGATCCAAATGGCTATGTTTAACAGATTTATAGTGTGAATTAAATGGAAATGCTTGGATATTTTACAAAAGTTGATCATACACTTAAGCACAAAGAGATTCTCTATAAATCCCCCCAAACTAGATTTTGCAGACTACATTCTGAAACATCAATACAAAAAATTTAAAAGATATAGCAATAACATAATATATAGGTTTAATATGTAGGTTAACAGAAATAAAAATATTTAAGACCTTAAAAAGTGATTGCTTTACACAAAATAAATTAGTCACAGAAATGAAATGTACAGCATGGGGAATATAGTCAATAACATTGTAAATATCTTGCATGGTTAAAAAATGGTAACTAGATTTATCATGGTGATTATTTTGTAATGCATAGAAATAGCACATAACTATTCTGTGCACCTGGAAGTAACATAGTGTTGTAGGTCAATTACACTTCAATAAATTTTTTTTAAGAAAGGAAACATGATTGCTTTGGAGACCAAATCGAAAATATTTTAATAAGTTATTTAAAATAAATTAAAATATAATGAGCTATATTTAAAAGTGTAGAAGCTAAAGAAAAGCAGAAAATAAAGTAAGAGGAGAAAGAGACCGAATATATTGAGTGAGATTGATACAGCATTGGTTGTTTTTTAAAAATAGAGTAACAAAACTTGCAAACCACAATCCCTAGAGAAATGTGCAAAAATATTGCTACAGGCAAGCAGAAAGCAAGCTTCTACTCAGGGAAAGATGGAGAATGTAGCTCCTGACTCTTAACTTCAGTGAGCAACCCATTTGAACATTCCACAGGTATTTTGGGGAAGGAAGTATGGGAGAGATCCTTCATCAGGCAGATTGGACCTCAAGCCCTTCACTTATTTTAGGCTCTGAGAAACTGGTTTAATCTGGGAAGACAGGGTTGAGATAAGCAGATAAGCTACAGGTGATCGGAGGGAGGACCTAGCTCAGTGGTAGCGCACATGCTTAGCATGTAGAGGTCTCTGGGTTCAACCCCCAGTAGTGCCTCTTTTAAAAAAATTTTTTTCCCTTAAAGGGGGCACTGAGGATTGAACCCAGGACCTTGTGCATGCTTGGCTATATCCACTGAGCTATATCCATAAACAACAGGATCTTTATCTTTATTAATGGAGGTACTGGGGATTGAACCCATGAACTCGTGTGTGCTGAGCATGCCCTCTACCACTGAGCTATCCCCTCCACCACTTTCCTGCCTTTTTTGTTTTAATTCCAGCCATCCTGGTAGATAGGAAGAGGTAAGTCACTGTGTTTTTAATTGCATTTCCTTAATGACTAATGATGTCGAGCATCTTTTCCTATGCTTGCTGGCCATTTGTGTATCTTCTTTGGAGAACCAGATGTTATTTTTCACCTTTCAAATTAGCCAACATGATCTTAAAATGTTGATGTTATGTAATATTGTAGAAGCTATTTTAAGTGAAAAATGCAAAGTGTTGAGCAGCGTGTGTGCTGCCCACAAGAAGAAAAACTATATGTGTTTTTAAAAAATGGGACTCTTTTTAGCTCAGTTTTGGTTGAGGCACGAAGACAACAGATGTTATATTCCAAAGTGAGTTGTCAGATACACTGCCATAAAGAAATTTCAAAAGAGGTCTCTGAGAAGCAATAAAAGAACTCAGCTACACTGAGATAGATTGTTAGAATTTGAGCTGGTTTTTGGAGAAAGCTGCTTGCTAAAAGCCTGGTGAGAGGGGCTTGATACGAATTTCCTATACTGGGGGCTCAGCTAGTTGTCAGATATCAATACAACAAAACCAGAAGCATCCTAGGGGTGAGGAGAAGTGAACTGAAGTTGGCCTCTTGCCTGAGAATCAAAAGGGCAAAAGAAGGGCTGTGGTAGGGGCACAACCGAGGATGCTTGCTTCTGTGTTAGCATCTGTGCTGTTGAGGGAACTTGCTCAGGCAATGGACGATAAGACAGCGATAAAGATCATCTTTGATCATTGGGACTATCTAGAAGGATGGACAGGTGTCAGGAGAGGAGGAGCCAGAGGTAGGACACAGGATCCTAAGCTGCTGGGGTGGGAGTCGGGACCAGTGGAATAGAATGCATTTGCCCAGTTTGGGGGAACTGCAGGTGAGAGACAACTGAGGATGGGAGGAGTGTTCCTCAAAATCGCTGAGTCAGCTCAGAGAGCACCCTGCTGTCTTACCAAGGAAGAACCTCCCTGCCCCATTCACAGCTTTCCTCTCACTCTACTTTGGCTTCAGTGAAGTCAGAAACCACAGCGAGTAATCTGGGGAAGGAGACCAGTAAACAAGAGATAAGAAGGCTTAATCCAAAGGCAAGTGACCAGTCCCACAGGGTGACCTAGTTGTGGGGGAAGGGATGATGGCCTGTTCTGCAGTCAGGGAAGTTTTGATTGCAACATGGGACTGGAAATTCTAATTGCTGAACTGAGACTGTTTTCAACTTCAATTGTCTGTAAGACTTTTCACTTAACCTAAGAGTTAGCAGAGAAGTCTTGGGGCCTGCTCTGGTTTGTAACCCATGGCAGGGAAAGGACCATTCCTCCCTACAGATTTAAAGGAGCAAAATTAAGTTGCTTTTCCCCAGTCCTGCTTATTCTAGGAATTGGTAGAACAAATACATGTGAACATTGGCTGAGACCTGTGCACACGATTTTGGATGGATAGATAAGAAACCAGTGATTTGAGCTGAGGGATTAAGGTTATGTCATTTTTAGTGATTTAAAATTCTGTCATGAATTGTATATAAGAATACTAGTTGTATTTTATAGTAAGATTTAGAAGATGTACTCTTTCTTTCCAATATGACTCTTTCTTTCCTAATGATTTTAACAATTTTATTGAGTCACAATTCACACGTCACACAATTCACTCACTGAAAAGTGTACAATGCAATGTTTTTTAGTATATTCCAAGGTTGTGTAACTATTTTATCGCCAAATAATATTCCATTGTGTGGTTATACCACATTTTGTTTATCCATTCATCCATTGATGGACGTTTGAGTTGTTGCCACTTTTTTACTATTAGGAATAATGCTGCTGTGAACATTAACGTACAAGATTTTGTGTGGACTTGAGTTTTGTTTCTCTTGGGTATATACCTAGAAGTAGAATTGTTGGGGCATTTGGTAACTTTATGTTTAATTGTTGAGGAACTGCCAAGTAATTTTTGCAAGTGGCTATAACATTTTATATTCCCATCAACAATGACTAAGGGTTCCAATTTCTCCACAGTCTCACCAATGCTTGACATCAAGAAGTCCTTCAACTTTGTCCTTTATCAAAATTGTTTGAGCTAATTTGGGCCCCTGGCCTTTCCATTTGAGTTTTAGGATCAATTTCTGTAAAAAGAGCCAGCTAGGATTTTGATAAGGATTGAGTTGAACCTGTAGATCAATTTGGCTGATTATTACCATTTTAACAATACTAAGTCTTCTGATCTCAACATAGGCTATTTCTCACACTTTTCCTATAATTTCCCTATATATGTTGGCTACAAGAAAAAGTCTAAACTCTGTACCTGCACTTTGAGGTCCCTCCCAGTTTGAGACCAACTACTGTAGTTTAATAACATGTATGTTTCCTTTTGGCCATGCCAAGGGTTCCTGTGTTCTCTAAGCAGAATGGACCCTCATTAAATCTTGAACTCAAGAGCAAAAATAATTATACATCTTCACATCCCAAGCACCAAACTAAATACCAAAGAAGGTTTTCTTGCAGTAACGTTTGCTAAATTGACTTGATCAATCAAGGCTGAGGTAAAATAATGCTTTTAAACTGAAGGCCAGCTCAGTTCCCTCTGCTTCTTTAGAATCTTCCCCAAACTACTCTCCAGCCCACAGTTCACCAGTTTCTTCTGAATATTGGTGGCACATGATGTCCTGTATTTTTGGTGCAAAATAAAGTATGTGTTTCTTGTCTCCTCCCAGTGAAGCTGAAAGCACCGTATAGCCAAACACACAGTAAGTGCTGAACAGCTGCTTGCTGCATTGAACTTTGACTTGCGTTACCCGGTGTTTCATCCACGTGCGCTGACGTGGACCTGTTCTTGCCTCCCCAGGGGACGTTCTGGTGTTCCTGGACAGCCACTGCGAGGTGAACAAAGTATGGCTGGAGCCCTTGCTGCATGCCATTGACAAGGACCCCAAAATGGTCGTGTGTCCTCTGATCGATGTCATTGACGATATGACCCTGGAATACAAGCCCTCTCCTGTTGTGAGGGGAGCTTTCAACTGGCACCTACAATTTAAGTGGGACCTTATTTTCTCTTACGAGCTGAATGGACCAGAAGGACCTACTAGACCTATCCGGTGAGATTTCTTCGTAATGGAAAATAGCATGTATGTATTGGGAGGGGGAGGGGAGAAGCTTCCAGAGATTATTACATTGATTTCTTGAGCTTAATGAAGGGACATTTTTAATTATTTATCTTGCTTCTAAAAGTCTATAATAATAGAATTTGGTAGGCTTTGTTTCTTCAGTTGAAAATGAGCCTATCACCTCAGTTCAGGGTCCCACCATGGTCAGTATCCCTCTGATTTCAGAGGTCCGTCTTTAAAACATGGAGTTGGTTCTCAAGTTACAAGTGGCATGTTGATCAATGAACAAAACACGGGCACTGTGGATAGCCCAGAAGAAGTAGATGTCTCTGCCAAATTCGTATATTTATTCAAGTCTTCCATCTACAATTTTATAGGTTGAGATGAATGTGATTATTAGTCTTGGAAAATGTGTTTCTAAATGTGAGAACAATTTGAATGTTGTGACTTCTAACTGCTTTTAGAAGTTGTTTCTCAAGAGACTTCCTCCAGGTCACTCCCTACATTTACTGATAACTTTGACACCAGGCTCACTTCTCTTCTTTGACTGTTAACCGCTTTGTTTCACCAAGCACCTGAGTATATTTTCTAACACCATCACCTAGCAAGTCCTTGATGTTTGCCTCTCTTCTAATTTAGGTAGAGCTGTGTGATCTTTCATGACTTACTTAACCTCTCTGCACCTTGTTCTTTATCTGTAAGTCTGGAAAATAGCAATGCTTCACAGGGATGCTAATGAGGATTCAATGACCTATTTCAGAGCTTAGGGCAGTATCGGTCCATAATAAGTGTACATAAATGTTAGCTATTTGATGAGCTACAGCCATATCCTGGATCTTGTATCTTCTAAATGACCAGGTATCCTTCTTTCTGGCCACATCCTAGGACCCTCCTAGTTTTTGCCTGCTCTGCTCCCCTACCCCTACCCTTGGATATCATCAGTATCTCCAGTTCTTTGATTTCTCCTTTTACTCCTTCGGGGTTTTCTTTCTGCTCCTGTGGTCTAGACTCTCATCTGTGAATTCTCTTCCCACCAGTCCCGTCAACTCCCCAACGTGCTGTGCTGCTGCCACAGGAGCCCTGCAAGTCTCCACCTCTGGTTAGGTTCCACCAACCATTTCCTTTGTCCCTTTAAGAGATGTGAACTGGTGCTTCTGCACGTTGGTGGTCTCCAGGCTCATGCTGCTCTGCATCCCCTTTGTGCTCGTTCCCTGAAGTGCATACTCTAAAACTTTATTATTTCCCTTAGTCCTAATATCTGCTCCTGGCCTGAACCGCTACGTTTAGTAAGCAACCTGGCCTCCTAATTCAAGGAAGAAATGAACACTGTCTAAGAATTGGAAGGAATAATTGGGACGTTAGGTGATACTTTATGCTACAACCATGATGGAATATTATGCAGCCATTAAGCATGACCACATATGAATGCTGTATCGCCATTTTCCAACTTTCCCATTGCCTTCTCTAATCTGGTGATTAACCAAGTCCAGGAGATCCATTTTTTGTGATGACTCTCACATCACATCTGTCCATCTTTCTGACAGTCTTCATGGCCCAGGCTGTCACTGCCTCAGGCATAGACGCTACACCATGAAAGACAGTCTGGCCTGCAGGCCCCTCCCCCTCATTCCAATCTCTCTGTTGCTACATTTTCTTGAAACCTCACTTTGCACATGTCCCAAATCTCACTTACTGTTTTTCCATTGCCTTTAGGATAGCATTCCATGCTGCTGGCTTCTCCCTTCTCTTTGACATGTGTTCTTCCCTTGCCTCCAGACCACCCCGGCCCCCTGGTCTTCCTCCTGCCTCATGGGTTGTTCCCTCCCATCCCCTTTGCTGATTCTTCCTCCTCTCCCTGACCTCTCATGGTTGACATTCCAAGGTCTCTTTGTCCTCCTCACCCCTCTTCCCTCACAGTGATTCTCATCCATCTTATACCGATGACCCCCAGATCTATACCTCCAGCTCTGACCTCTCTCAGGACACCAGACTCATCTATCTGACTGCCCACTGGCATCTCCTCTTGGATGCTGAGTAGACGTCTCAAATATGTCCCAAACTGAATCTTCCACCAAAAGTAGTTCCAAGCATGGCATCCTCCATTGCAGTGCATGGTAACTCTATCTTCCAGGCTACCCAGGTCAAAAACTTGGGAGTCAGCCTTGACTCTTCTCTTCCTCTGACTCCCTGCATCCTACCTGTAGTAAATCTGCTGTTTCTGTCTTCAAAATATATGTGGAATTTAGCCACATCTTACGTCTTTCATTGCTCTCTCCTTAATCCAAGATTCTATTGTGTTTCTCTGGGACCACTGCAACAGCCTCTAACTAGGGTCGCTACTTCCACCTTGGCCTTTTGATTAACTAACTTATCCCTAACACATTATAGTTGCTTTATATATACTATTTGAAACAAATGAATGAATGAATATATAATTATTTTCAAGCTACTTAGTTTGGTATTATTGGACCCTGTTATTTATTGGTGGACAAAAGAAAGATGCTTTCTAACATGATGGTTTTCCCAGAAGTAAAAATGACAATTCACTTTATGCCTTTAGGAAGGGAGATCTTTAAACTCCACCACCCGATTCAGTCACCACTCCCATGGGAAACTCACATACTAAAAATAATTTTCCCTATCACCAAGACAACATTTAGAATTGATTGCTTACAAAATTTGGTGAGAGCTTAGAAAAAGCTATTGCTGCCTACTTTTTGGTAGTTATGGTTTTAACTTAGTAATTTTACATACTTACAGGTCTATTAAGATAATTTTGGTATTAGTTAATATGGGTGTTTTCTAGCTTTTAAGTATGTTAAGTCTTTAAGTATATTGAGTCTAATTTTGGCAAAAATCTGTAATGACTGAATTAGTGGAATCAATTAAATATTTGTGTGTCCTTTTTAGGTCACCAGCAATGGTTGGAGGAATTTTTGCTATAAATAGGCATTATTTTTATGAACTTGGACAGTATGACAAGGGCATGAATCTCTGGGGAGGAGAAAACATGGAAATTTCACTCCGGGTAATTCAAACTTTGTGTTTTAAATCGTTAACTTTGTGCATAGAAAGTAAAATCTAACTTTAAGTCACGTAACTTGCTGTGGCAACTCTTCCCTGTTTCCCACACAAGCCTCTGGTGCATTTGGGTGTCACATGAAATAAATGATTTACGGGACTCCTTGCAGAAATTGAAAACCTTTAATAAAATTTCAGATTTTCTTACCATATGTTATTTCTAATATATGGTATGTCAGATTAATATGATATTTTTAATCCATTTGTGGGGTCTTTTTTTTATTATACTGATTGTCTTGGTAGTTGTACCATAATGGGGAAAAAAACAGGATTAGGAGGTAGGGGTCTTGGGTGCCACTAAGTACATGGGCTATTTTAGGTCTCTGTGTTTCCATCCATAAAGTGACAGGACTGGGTTGAAGATGTCTAACTCTTTTCTTAAAATTTATCTATCTATCTATCTATCTATTTAGGAACGGGGAGATAATTAGGTTTATTTATTCATCTTTTGTAATGGAGGTACTGGGGCTTGAGCCCAGGACCTTGTGTATGCTAAGCATATCTTCCCCCTTCCTAACTCTTAAATCCTGAGATACTTGCTACAGTGTGGGTAAAACTTGAAAACGTTATGATAAATGAAAGAAGCCAGACACGAAAGACCGTATACTTATGTGAGTCCATTCATATGAAATGTCTAGACTAAGCAAATCCATAGAACCAGAAAGTAAATGAGTAGTTGCCAGGGGCTAGGGGAGAAGAGTGACTGCTAACGGGTACCAGGTTTCTTTTTGGGGTGAGAAAAATGTTCTAGAACTAGACGGTGGTGATGGTTGCACAACCTTGTGAAAATACTGAAAATCGCTGTGTTGTAGATGTTACAAGGGTGAATTTCTCATGGTGTATAAATTATATCTCAACAAAAGGAACAGATTTATTAGCTTTTTAAAAAATCCTATGATACTAGAACACTGCACATTAGACGTTAAGTTGAGTCCCAACTCTACCACTTCCTTGCTGCGTGATCCTTGGCAAGTCATTCATTTTTCTAGTTCTCAGTTATCTCACCTGTTAAATAGGAATAAATACACACACACACACACACACACACACACACAAACACACACACACACACACACATTCTCTGGATTATATAAAGACTTAATGGAATAATTGGTTTAGAGAACCAGGTACAAAGCAGATATTCCTGGAGGGGGAGCCTGAAGAAAATACTGAGGTACAACTATTCAGACATTTATCATAAATAGCATTTTGTGTTTGACTAAATAAATGACAGCCAATACTGTTCTACTTTAAATTTTGCCATCTGTGTTTTATACTCTCTGAAGTCATCTGCATGAACAGGCATGAACTCATTTAATCCTCACAATAAACCTGTGAGGTAGCGACCACCATCATCTCCTTTTTTTAATGGGGAAGCTGAGGCACAGAGAGGTAGAGTAACTTGTCCAAATTCACAGACCTCATGCGTAGTGTGCCCCAAACCCATCGCTTCCTGCCTCATATATTCTACTCACCTTCAGGTCATGTGATTCCCCACCCCACCAGCTCGGGTTTACCCTGTTTCTAAGTCACTTTTCTCTGAGGCTGGCAATCTATTGGAAGCCTCCAAGGCTCTGAATTTTAGTTGCCCTGAGCTCAGTGTTATCATTGCTCATGGAAAGTGGTGATTTGCTAGGTGCCCATGGAGCTACAGCCTCACTCCTGACTTCAGATTACATCTCATGACCAGGCTTCAGACTGGCATTTCCATTTCCCTGAGACAGCAGACAGCTGCGCTGTGGCTAGCTCCGTTGCCCAGGACCTGTGTTCCATCCTGGTGTCCCCCAAAGGGGCAAGATCACTGCTCCAGGAGCCAGGTCCCTGCCCTACTCTTAGAGGACATTGATGCCAGCTTAGATTTGGCCCAAGGTTGCTGAATCCCCTTAGATGCTGTGATTTGAAAGCAAACCACATTGCTGGCGAGAGACAAAGGGTGAATTAGATTCTCCTCTGTCTGCACAATGAAGAATTAGCCAAGCTCCTCAGCATCCGTTCCCCTGCTCGGACCATGTGTCTCCGCTGCCTCACAGGGTTACTTTTCTTGGCCCATCTGCTCAGAATTTCCACCCCTAAGAAGTTTCTCCAAGTTGCTTTCTCGTCTCGTTCCACCTTCTCAATAACCTTAACCTCCGTCGCATTCCAGTGACTTAATGGACACTGATGACACCAGTTCTGGCACCTTCCCCAATCCTTCCCCTGAGTCGTAAACTTGTGTGTCCAATTGCCTACAAGTTACCATCGTTTAAACATCCCACAGGTGTGCTAAACCCACATTCCCTCTCTGGATGTTGTGCACCCCCTCCCTGCCCCACCACTCACCTACACACGCCCCACTCAACCACCGCTGAGAACCTCCTTGGGCTCCCTTTACCTCTCATGCCCCACGTTCACCTCACTGTATCTGGTCAGTTCTACTCCTAAATCACTGCTTGTCTCTGTCCACTTTCCTCTTCCCCCACCGCCATAGTCCATAGTTAAAGCTTTGATGTAATTTATTCAGGAAGATTTTCTTGACCTCGTCCTCCTTTCCTCTCTGCGTACAAATTCGTGCGCGCGCGCGCACACACACACACACACACGTCTGGGGTCTGTTCTCCTCCTGTGCGTGCTTCACCTGTTACAGCACTTACTGTGCTATATTGCAGCTGTCTCTTGTCTGTTTGTGCAGGGCAGGCTGGGTAGATATGCAGCCTGTGTGGTTGCACATGGTACCATGTTTAGAAAGACTCCCCGCCGACTTGGTTTAATGCTCTGCTCTTGCCGTCTTGAAATTTTTGATAATTTTTGAACCTGAGACTCCACTTTTATTTTGTGCTGAGCCCTGCCAATTGCATGTTCCCGTCAGCCCTAAGCTCTGTGAGGGCTGGGACAGGGTCTGATTCATTCAAAATGTGTTCTCAGCACGTAGTACGTTGACTCGGTAAGAAGTGGTTGAAAACTATTCTCTGAGTGGTTGAACCACTCAGGTCTAAGAGGCCTCATGTGTAAATGATCAGAGCAATGCATGCCCTCCCATGTTGCTGTGTGCTGTCACTGAGGCCATGTGCACAGTGCCCTCAGCCAGTGTTTGTTCCCTTCTGTTTACCCTGCAGCTGCCCCAGAGTTCTAATTTCAAATGGCATCTGGCCAGCAGCCTCTCCCAACTTTCTAGTAATATATTTATTAATAGAGACTGGAAAAGATGAGACTGCACTAGAAACTAAGTTAAATAGGCAGCCTGAATCCGGGAGGCACCTCCAAAACTGAGGCCAGTGGAAGGGACTGAGAAACCCCGGCTTTGTTGCAAGACGCATCCCTGCTTCCCCCTCGCAAATGCAGATTCCAGAAAAAGAGTAAAGAGCTACTCAGTAATGCCCCTGTTTCTGCCCCCGAATCAGAAAGTGGACAGCCTCCCTACCCATATGTGCCAATGGAGAAGGCCAGTGAGTCTGGACCCCAGTGAGTGAAGAGAGAATGGCAAGAAAAGGCTGGAGAGGGAGACAGGGTGGGACTCTGCAGGGCCCTGTAAGGATTTAGGTGTATCTTACGTGCAGTGGAATGCCACAGGTACATCTTAGGTAGAACAGTGTGTGGAGACTGACATAGTGGAGGGTAAGTAGGCAGACCAGGAGTTTCTTGCAATAATGGGGACAAAGGGTGACAATGGAGATGGAAAGAACAGGACAGATTCCAGGCATATTTACAAGTAGAATGGACAGTACGTGGAGACTGGCCAGCTAGGTGGATGTTGAGGGAAGGGGTGGCATTGTCATCCAGTTATCAGCCAGCTAATGCCACAATGATGCTTGTTACCAACCAGCTCAAAACTGAGTAGCCTAGGACAGTCAGCATGTATCTTTTCTTTCATATGTCTGTGGGTGGCTGGAGTGGCTCTGCCCTGGAATTTACACCGGTGGGGCTGGGCTCTGCTCTCTGAGTTTGGTCAGTTCTACTTGTCATTCTAGTAGCAACTCAGGGTGTATGCTTCTCATGTTGATGGGCAAGGATACAAAAGTCAAGCCAAACCACACAGCTTGTTGAAAGCCTCTGCATGCCTCTTGCCCACTCACATTCCATGGACCAAAGCATGTGGAATGGACAAGCCCAAAGTCAGTGTTTCAGAGAAATGTCCTCTGCCCCATGATGAGGGATAGTAAGTGAGATAAAATTTGCTGAGTCAATCTGTCACGCCAAGTTTCTGGAATGAGCAACTAAGTGGATGGAGGTCTTATTTACTTAATGAGTAAAACTGGTTAATAGAAAAATGTTCCCTCATGTATCAGTTAGCTTTTGCTGTGTAACAAACTATTCTCATTGTGTCTTAAAACAACAGATAAGTGTTATTCCTTGTAATTCACTGTGTTGCTAAAGTGGTTCTGCTGGTCATAGCCAGGATGGCTGATTTCTACTGTGTTGCTTACACATGTGTGTTCATCTGGAGTCTCAGCTGGTGCTGGCTGGTCTAGAATGGTCTCATCACATGTCTGGACGTTGGCCCAATGGTAGCCGGGGAAGTGGTGACCACTAGGCCATTTGTCTCTCATTATCAGGGAGGTTAGGGAGGCTTATTAACAGCGACTGGTCACCAGGTTCCCAAGAGTAGCAAGAGAAGGCAAGTCCAAAGTGCTGCAGGCACTTTTCAAGCATCTGTCTGCATCACATTTGTTAATGTCCTATTGGCCAAAGCAAATCACAAGGCCAAGAGATTCAAGGAAGGAAGAAGTAAACCTCACTTTTCAATTGAATGAAGTACAGAGTTAATTGCACAGAAGTATGCATATAGGAACGAGAAGCATGAGTGGGCAGGCCTGCAGTCCACCGCACTTCACTGCAGCACAGACACACTCTCAGTTTACAGAACATGAACTAAGCACTTTACACGCCTCAGATTATCTCACGCTCCTAACAATCCCGTGGGTAGGTACTGTTATTATTCTCATTTCATGGATGAGGAAACTGAGACACAAATAGGTGAAGTAACTTCACTAACTTGCCCCAGATCGCACAGCTCATAGCAGCCCCAGAGTCAGTGCTCTGAACCACTGCGTTGTACCCACTCTAGGGGGGCTACTCCGCCTCTTCCTCCTCCTCCAGGAACAACAACAACAACAATAATAATAACATCTACAAAAGTGGGATCTATGACTTTGATTTATTAGGAGAGCAGTTCTCAAAGTTAAGCGTGCACCAGAATGATCAGGGCCACCTAAAGAGTTAGTTAAAATACCGATCACTGGGTCCCCACGCCCACAGTTCCCAATTCAGTAGGTCTGGGCGGCCCAGGGATTTACTTTTCTAAGTTCCTGAGTGATGCTGATGCTGTCGGTCTGGGGCCCCTGCGAGAATCACTGAATTGGAGTAACCGAAAGAGTCATGCAAGTATGATTGCGGCAAAAAAATTCAGCAGTTGCCTGTTCCTAGCAAACATACATGAATAAGTTTTCTGTTTTTCTTCTGTCTAGATCTGGATGTGTGGAGGCCAGCTCTTAATAATCCCCTGCTCTCGAGTAGGACATGTGGTTAAGCAACACATCACAAATCAAACTGAAGTTGCAAAAGCCTTGGCATTTAACAGCCTCAGAGTGGTGCACGTTTGGCTGGATGACTACAAGGTGAAGGAAGTGTCCCTGGTTTGGAAAGATGAGTGGGAGTACAGAGAGGGACTGGGTCAAAAGAAGCCATGTACTGCCTTTCCAGATACCAGTTTTTATCCTTTTCTCAGTTGTCCTTGAAATGGGGTACCCCTTCGCCCACTCCTCCACCCCTTCCCAGACCCTCTTCTCAGTGAGTTCATTCCGAGCGGCTCTACTTACAACTTAGTCTTTTATTTTAGTCTCTAGGAAAACTCAGGTTTTTCAGAAGGAAATCAACCAACACAAGATTTTTTTTGGTTTTCCCAGATCTGTTTCCTTCCTCCAAAGATTGCCCCTCTGCAGCAAACATCTCTCGCAGCCCCTGCTCCCATAGGCAAATTTTTAGATTCTCTTCTTTCACTACTAAGGTCCCAAGTGATGTGCCTTCTACTGCTCTGGGGACCACACAAGACTCTCCAGTACCAACAGGCAGGCATTTCTACATCAAAGCCAGGCCTATTTGTGTAGCTCCCTGTGGTTTAAGCCCCTTGCCAGGACCTTTAGAAAGCACAGAGAGGGGGTTGGGTACAGCTCAGTGGTAGAATGCATGTACAAGGTCCTGGGTTCGGGTCCTAGTATCTCCATTAAAAAGAATGCACAGAGAACATATAGCTGTGGCTCCATCTTAATTTGAAAGTTGTCCATACAGAATCCATGTTCAAACAAACAATGACAGTCACAACAAGACCTCATTTCAGATACATGGGTAGAAATATGTAAGAATCTCTCTGTGATATTATGTGTCTTGGTCTTGCTCTAATATTTCTTTATTAATTTAAATTATAAAAGTAGTAATACTCAATTTCTTTAGTAATCAGGACAATATGAATTAAAACCTGAATAGGAGCTTTCTACAA